GATAACTATAAGCTTCTCTCAGATTCATCTGTTATAACCGGGTTTTTTTCTAATCTCACCTCTATTATATGAATCATTATATTCGGAAAGTGTATATTTTGGTATTTCTCTCACTTTAGATATTGATATTTACACGTTATTTAGTATTCACACCTTTTGTTTTATATTATGCTAACTAAACAATCATTCTTCGCACTATAGAAAAGGTAACTAATCTGTTCATAGGCATTTACTAACACTATAAGAAACTGAAAAGCATGCATAATAATTTATGCTAAAATTTTTCAAATATACAAAGTTCAATATATAAAGTTATGAATCGGCAAGTCTTTTTTTAGACAAATAAAGGGTTTATAAACTTATAATTTTTGAACTTTTTAAAAATTATTAACTAAACTGAAACTCTGTTTTTTTTAGAGTTCGACGGTTTCCCATGGTTTCGAAGAGGCGGAATCCCACATTTTGCTACACTATTGAGTCCCAAATAAATGACCCATTTTCACCTGATGTTGTTTATACAAACACGTTCGGCAAGTATTATTTTTTTCAACTTTACAGAAAAAAATTCTAATAGATTTTTCAAGAATGAAAAAAAAACATCTTAAACAGTGTCAAAAGTCACAAGAAACGTTACAAAGAGAATGTTTTGAGACTCTACGGAGAAAAGATTTCCCGTCAAATTATTGAACTGTAAGTTTAAAAAAAATTTCTGGTAAAAAAAAGTTCCTAGTTCTGGTAATGAAACCAAAATTTACGGCATTTAAACCATTCATGTGGTAATGGTTTCCATTTGCATGGCAGCGGTCTACCCTAAATCCAGGTCATCGAAATTGTAGCTCTTGTTAACACACATTTAATAAAAATACAAGACTTCAAAGTAATTTCAAACAAATAAATGATTTTAATGCCTTTCTCTACGGTGACATAATAAAATTACCAGATTTTAGCACATTTACCTAATTTTATCACATGTTATAAAACCATATCATATTTCCATATATTATACTTTTTAAACATTTCACTTCAAACTCAGGTAGCCATACTATTGATCTAGGAAGTAAGCTAGTTCGATATGAATGCTCGGCAATTTTTTGTAGAACTGCTAGCGTGACATGAAAAATTTACTCTTATTTAAAAAAAAAACATTTTATAAATTTTTAAAATTTACCTAGAGCTAAATTATGATTTTTGACAAACATTTCTAAAATTGAGTTTACTATAAATTTAAAATTACTGTAATTTATTCTTTCTGAAAATACTTTACTTTCGCTTTTACTCCATTTATTTCCAACCCTAACTCAGCATAAGCACTTGATTTACTCCAAAACGTAGTTGACAATCTTCAAAGGAGTTTTTGTTTTGGGGGATAGAAATTTCTTTACAGTGTTTAACATATATGCAAAAAAGTGCCTTAATTTTACCTAACAATGGCCGATTAAACAACAAAAATAAAATAATATAAATTTTTATTGCAAGTTTTACATTTTTTTACACATTATAAAACAAATAAACTAGTTTTTTTTTTTTACATTTTATATTAATATTTGAAATAAAAATTTTCGAAATTTGTCAAATACATTATGATCGATAATTGTAGACCTCCTGATTACCAAAAATGCAATTAAAATTTTAATTAAGGCGTCTTTAAGAAAATTTCTTCTAACTCTATCGAATACCTTATTTTATATAATTTTAGACTACAGAATAGACCTTAGTACTTTCTCGGAAGAATACTTTTATCCCACAGATGAAGTCCTAATATATGCAGTGATTCATAATCGCCGGCATCTTGTTAACCCATATAAGGAAGGAATTGCCCTTAAGGCGGGATATTTCTATAAGATATATGTCTCCATGGCAAGTATTTGTTCTTCAGATTTTCATTTCAACATGCAAGTATTATTTACTTTTACTACAATTATTTGAATGCTACCCTCAAAACTATTATCTTGTAATTAATGTATGCATCTGTTGTTGCTGTGACTTATCCTCCAAATGTCAGACAAGGTCCATCAGACCATTGACTCTAAAAAATTCAAGGACCAGAAGGAGAGATGAGTATGTGTCCTCTCTGGAAAGTCCCAAACAGTCCAGGATGTGTTCGGGAGAAGTATGCTCAGTTTGATATTTGGAGCAGACCTCGAAGATTCTCCTACCTTCGAAAAACGAGAGAATTTTTGTGTGACAGCCGGCTAATCTGTAAATTGCGTTGTATCATGCACCTGTTTACATATTTAAACAATAAAGTGAACTATATTAAAATATAATATAAATCGTTTTGTTAAAGCAATATGGAAAATGCATCAAGGTGCTTCTCGATCAAGTCCCTTCATATACATTTTTATAAGAGGCAATACATTGCATTTTATATTAAAATTCTTACTGTATATATATTATACATACAGCAACATATGCATATTAAATCACATCAATTATCTATGTCCTATAATAATAGCCGCCATAATGAGCAACGTAGTAAATAGCCATAATTAGCTGCAGTTAGCTACGTAGTAAGATCGCCACGTAGTAAATAGCCGCCATAATGAGCAACGTAGTAAATAGCCATAATTAGCTGCAGTTAGCTACGTAGTATGATCGCCACGTAGTAAATAGCCGCCATAATGAGCAACGTGATAAATAGCCATAATTAGCTGTAGTTAGCCACGTAGTATGATCGCCACGTAGTAAATAGCCGCCATAATCAGCAATAACTATTTAGGCTAACTACATGTAGTAGGTAAATTTAACGGTTGAACCTTAGACCCTTGTGTTCCTTTTACATTTTTTCTGACACTCTATTTACAAGTAAAAACATGTTTCTATATTTTTTCACTATAAAACACAGTGTCATTGCTATTAAAAAATATATTAGGTTATCAGAATTATATCTATTCTAAATTATAAAATCTAAAAAAAAGTAATTGGTTTTCACTCATATTTGAGCATTAATCAATAATTGATTTTGTTAATTAAAGAAATTTCAATGATGATTAGCTTTTTTCATGAGATCTAAATATTTGGAAGTAAGTGCAAATTTGAAAAGTTATTGTTTGGAAGTGAGACGCGTTTGAAAGATTTTACTTTCAGAAAAAGACTCCGGCGTTTCATGCTGCATTTCATAATCATAACCTATTAAAATGTTCAATATTTTGCACTTGCTTGGACTAAAATCGGTTCAAAATAATTAACAAAAGTGTGAAAATTCTGCTTCAAAAGGATAAAACTAAAAGTGTGGAAAATGGTAACTAAAAGCTTCTCTTAGATTCATCCGTTAATAACCGGTTTTTTTTCTAATCTCACCTCTATTATGAATCGTTATAATCTGAAAGTGCATATTTTGGTACTTCTCTCACTTTAGATATTGATATTTTTACGTCATTTAGTATTTGCACCTTTTGTTTTATCTTATGCTAACTAGATACCCGCTGTTCACACGGAGAAGAAATTAAATAATCTGTGTAATCGGTATTTAACGACACATAATAAATAATGCTAAATCATAAAAATGCTAAAATAATGCATGGTCATAATAAATAATGCTAAAATGATTCCGACTCTTTTCGATCTACTAAACTGAAATGCACTAACATAATTGATAATGATTACAATAATGATTACGATTTTCTTTTTATTATCATTTGTGGCCTTTATTTTATTAGAATAAGAAAAATTTGACTTTCCCATATCACTAAATAAAAATAAAATTTAAAGTTACTAATTTTTGCATGAAGTAAAATCATGATAGTCAACATTTACCACCATTAAGAAAAAATTTCCGTCGCTTTCCCTTTTGCCGAAAGAAAATTTATTATCACAGTAGCTATCTAAAATTTATTTGGTACCTATAAATACCGTATTTTATTTAATTACTTTTTTGGAACAGAAGAGTCGATTTCGGGTTTGCACTAACAAAGTTCATATCCGTAGCAATTTTGAACTCAATCTAGAAGACAATGGAACTCCCAGATCAAGTAATGGCAGAAATTTGCATTCATTGAGGACTTTTTGATGGAACTAACTTTTGCTTACTTGCTTTACACGAAGAGGAGAATCACGATAATCTCCCACGTTTAGCCTGACGGCAAGTGGACTCTAACCCATGATCCGCCTACACTGAGGACATTTTACGTCAGTATTGTGGTCTGTGCGAGCCTGCTGCGGATTTCATATCCACCAGCCATCGCTGAGCCATGACGGCTCTGGGGATAGAGCGTTCGAATTCCAATGAGGTAAACCGGGTTCGAATCCCAGTGATTTCTGGTTGATACGAGTTCCTCATCCGGCTTGCACCGTCTGCAGTGCTGACATAAAATATCCTTAGGGGTAGACGGATCGTGGGTTAGACCTTTGCCAACAGGCTAACCATGGGATTTTTCATGGTTTTACCTCTCCATGTAACACAAATGCTGGTTGGTACTATCAAAAAAGTTCGCCACGAAGGCAAAATTTCTCCCAATACTTGATCCAAAAGTTTCCTTGTCTTCTGGATTGCGTTCAATATTGCTACGCTTTGGAGTTGAACATTAGTAGTCGTAAATCCAAAATCTAGGGTCGGCTATTCAACAATGGTTATAAAATAAGATAAGATCTGCCATCGCTGGGATAAATGCCTTTATTTGTATAATTTATACCTATTAAAACATGAATTACAACTAAAATTCCAATAATACTTTTTACCCTGGTAGTCAGAAATGATTCAGAAACGATTTTCATAAAGGAGGATAGATATTGTTTCGATACTATGTTTGTTGAAGTAAAAATCATATTGTTTTTATTTATTCGACAATTTTAAATTATTATTAATTAAATATTATTAATAAATGTATATTATCAATAAAAAGTAGCTTCTGAATGGTAAAAATAAATGATTAATCCAGTGAAAAATATATTCATAAACATTTATAATTGAAAAATATTTGCTTCATAACTATTTGCTTTTATTTTGCATTCATTTTCAAAAGCAAAAAGAAAATGCATACAAATATGATCAAAATTTTTCAGAGAGAAGACATCAGACTTCCACATCCATACAGTACAAACTGTACAGATTATTTAAGTCTTTGGAATGAAAACAATGGCACGGGACCGTTAAACGAAAGGGTATGATAAGATTCTTACGCTTCATATTTCATTTTTGTATAATTAGAAAATATCATTTTATTAACAGTATCAGCTTATTTTGGATAACAGTTAGAAGAATTCAACTCCTTTAAAAATTGTTTAAGGTCAAAGCAGTCTGATTTTTTTACGCGCAGTAAACAATATGAACTGCCGGTCACAAAAATAAAAAAACAATATAGTTTTTATAATTGGTTATTGACAATTGCATATCAATAGTTTGGTAAATTCGAGGATAAATTAAAAAATTCATTTACACTATTATAAAGCATCACAATGGGAAAAAAGGAGCAAACATGCAATTATTCCTTAAATGACTAATTTTAACATTTTTAACATGCAAAACGAGTTTGCAAATTTCTAGAAATAATATTTTTCTACCTAAATTGTGCGTAATATTTATCTACTACTCTAAATGGCTGAAATTGGTGATTGTTGATTTCCACCAGTGAAAGTTCACAATCACATTTTGGTAAATGCCCAAGAAATATATGCTAGGTCTAATTAAGTGTCATTTGTCCGATATTGTCGACTCTGAAGTTTTAAGGTTCAATGCCAATGCCCGGTATACATTTGCCCGGTATGCCCTACATCAATGTTTTTTAAGGTCAAGTTCCACTGCCCAGTATGCAATTAACTGGTACTCCGAACACTGATATTTCTCCTAATCTATCACCAGCAGATATTAAAGTATCGAATAAATATATTAATATCAAGGAATAAATTAATTTCGAATAGGATGTAACAAATATTTCAGACATTCAAAGCAACTATGTGATTGTTGACATTCACTGGTGAAAGTCGACATTCTCTTGATCTGAGTCATTCACGGTGTGATCTTTAGATCTTTTTTACAACCACAATTAGAATAAATATTTGAATGTTTTTGAAGCATTCAAATCGTTTGGAAAACGTTTGTATTTTTTTCAATGAACCATGAAAAGAAAACTATTTCTCTGCAAATTCTTTATATTAGACTAAACAAATTCTACGAATAAAAAATATTTACAACAAATTACTTTCAATTATAGAAAAAAATGTCATTTGCTCAATTTCGAAATTTACGTGCAACAATTGAAGAAGAGAGAAGAATGATAATGGAAGTAATACATAGTATGCATGTTTCCCTTATTTACCCTGCTCGACCACTGTGATTGCCATGTTCTGTTTTTCATATATTTTCTCTCTTGGCTACTGAGGTTTTTCTAGTTTGTTTCCGGTCCCGAAGTGGACTGATCGTTAAGACACAGTTCTCAGCAGATCACCGAAGTCAAGCATTACTGGCTACGGTCAGTGTGCGTGTGGGTGACCACTTGGATCAGTCTGCGTAGGGACCCAGGGGGTGCGGCATGGGTCCTCATTAAACTGTGCTACCGTAAATTGCTCGACTTCGCGCGCAGGTCGTCGGACTACCGAAGCGGGGGTGCCATCCCCTCCGCAGAGGATCAAAATTGTGATGGCATGTCTTCGGATCATCCTCCGGGATGTTTCTCAGACCGTCGCCAATAGCCCATTGTGCAGCTCTAGTGCGACGTAAATTAACAACAACAACAAGTTTGTTTCCTATCGTTATTTTTCCATTTTTGATTGGCAACTTTAAGTTGGAAAATTTTCTTTTTAGATTTCAAATCACATTTGTTTCTTCTCTCTCACTTCTGTCAAGTCATAAAAATGGGTGCCTACTTTCGAGAGCTTGAAACATGACGGCTTTTGCTTACAATTTGTATATTTTTGAATCGAATGTAGTTTTTAATAAAATAATGCATTGCATATTTAGTAGAATGAATGAAATTTGAATTGCATAAATAATTTTTACTGTTAAAAAAATATCTCTGTATTTTTTTTTCCTTCTCAAATATGCAGCACGACAAAAAATTATAACTCTTTATCATTAGATATATCCATTTTTAAAGACACATAAATATTTTGAGTGATACATCTTACAAACATTTATAAGACGTTTTTAAAATCTTTCAAATGTTGAGAAATTTTTTTTTTAATGAATTTAATACAGAATGAAGTAGAAAGTATCACGCTGTAATCTCTTTATTGTAGATATAAACAATTTATAGAAATATCTAAAAAAATTAGCACTAATTGATTTTTAACAGATTGTGGCTACCCTGTAGTAAGAGTTATCAACAAGCAAATATAACTGAAGTTATCATTAAAATATATGATAAAACATTTACCTTAAGTTTCGTTTATATCAGTGGCTAATTACGACTAAAGAGAAAATTTCATTTTTTGAAATGTCTCTTCTAAACAAATTATTTGAAATTTTTGAACGATTTTTAAGATCGAAGGCCGAATGCCCTTAAAGGTTCAAATTTCAAGATGAACAACTGAGGGAATTTGAAGATATAAGAGAAGCACAGTGTTCATTTTATTATTATAGGTTTATATACTTTTTTAGAACAAAAAGCAAAATTAATGCTTCCACCAAAAAAAAAAAAAGATATATAAACTTGAAAAAAAAACTTGAAAAACTTTTACACTTATTTGCTCTCGGCTTAAATAAAAACATAAATTTTCTTATCTAGGCATGCATCGAGTATTGTAAATTGGAAAAGCTGAAATCACGTGCATGTATTGATGAACATATATGGTATGCTCCTCACATGGAGATACTATGTGGCAAAAGTAAGTTAAGACTTATAAATATTTCACACCATAATCGTATTTTAAAAGTATTATTATTAATTAATTAAATAAGCAACTATTTATATTCATTTTTGAAGCAAAAAAGTATTTTTCTATGGCAGCAGGTTTATCATAATTGTCAAGAAAGTTGTACAGTGCCCCGGAACAAACTAACCACCCTGAATAACTTTTGATCTAATGATCGGATCTTCAAATTCTAGAACTCATTCTTCATGGTTCGAAGAGATGATCTCAAATATGCTAATATTGAACATATTTCCCAAATTGCAGCTAATCCTTTTATTTTGGGAATTAAAAATCCAAATCCATTGAAAAATTATATGTTTATTCAGAGGAAGTACGTTTTTTGTGTCTGATTTCTTAACTTAAGTTATTGTTTGTACCAATTCAGTAGAATATTTGAGATCATCTCTTCAAACCACCAAGAATGAATCCTAGAACGTGAAGATCCGATTATTAGATCAAAAGTTAATCTGGATGATCCATTTTTTTATTTTGCGCGCTGTACATATGTTTTCGAGAAACAGATAAAAAAATGGTTAATTATATGAAGAAAAAAGCATTTCATTTTAAAATAAAAAAAATATTATTTATTTTGGTTTTTAAGAATTTTATCGTCAAGTTCTTTTGCTATGGTTTATTATAATTTTCTAAAGGAGTTATTGACTTAAGAATATACGGCTGCATAATATTTCAAATACTTAAAGGAAATTACTGATATTTTCATTAGGTTAACATCTTTTTTATGAAATAAAATGTCAAATTAAGGTGAACCAATGTGAATAAATTACATATGAAGTTATTTATACAAAAATATTCTCATTGACCATTTAGTCCCGTCTTATACCTCGCCACCCAATGAGTTCACCCGGATTCGATTCCAGCGATGGCTGATCGATACGAATTGCTTGACCAACCACACTACTGACGGAAACTGTCAGCAGTGGTAGACAGATCATGGGTTAGAGTCCCTTTGCCATCAGGTTGACAGTGTTAGGTCTTTTTTGGTTTCCCGCTCTATGTAACGCTAATGCAGATTAGTTCCTTTAAAACGTCCTTCACGAAGGCAGATTTCTTCCAATACTTGATCCAGGAGTTCTCTCGTCTGCTGGATTGGGTTCAAGATTACAAAGCTACGGAGTTGAACATTAGTAGTCGCAAACCTAAAAATGGGTCGGCTGTCCAACGATGGTAATAAAATAAAATAAAATGTAGTTGAGGAAAAACTGAAAAGGTTGAAGCAGGAAATGTCGTATTATTCAATCTACGGCCAAGACCTGTAATTTGCGTCTTCTACATTTACTGACCATTGAAAAAGAAATAAAAGCAGCCATCTCTTTAAAGAGAGACGCTCTGTGCATGGGCCAACATAAACGAAAAATCCGATTATTTAGTTGTTAGAACATTGTGAAATATTTAGGACCACCCTTCCAACCTACATTCCGCATCCAGTACATTGTGATATTTTTCTTATTTTACCGCGTTTCCCCTCGGTGCAGTTTATATTTATTACATCGTAATGCTAAACTGATCCGTGTTGAGGTCTTCTCTCATCTAGTAGGTGTTTATTCGTGTCAGATGTTGACGTAAAGGAATCAGTCACAGACATTTCAAAGCGGTATTTCGAGCAAAGAGTCTGATGAGAGTCGTGGTGGCTCAGGGGATAGAGCGTTCGCCTTCCAATGAGGTGAACCGGGTTCGAATCCTACCGATGGCTGGACGATACGATTTCCGCACCCAGTTTGCACTGTTCACAGTGCTCACGTAAACTATCCTCAGTTTCAGACGGATTTCAGACGGATCCTCAGTTTCAGACGGCTCAGTTTCTTAGGGTAAAAGAAACTCTGCATTTGTCCTAGGGCAACTGTTTTTTTTTCTCGTCCCCTTTTCATTAGTTCCAGTCTTGAAAATTAATAAATATTTATTAACCTGCAAAAAATTGAAAGTTATAATAACAGACAACTACTTAAATAAATAATTTAACATTATTGTTCTAAAAGCAGTATAAATAAGATTTCGATTATTGTGTTTTCTTATTTTGAACAGTTGTTGGAAGACACACTTCAACTTATGAAATAATTAAAGATTGTATCAGGAAATGCAAACCAGCATGCCGGTGAGTTATAAAATGAATGTTGTTTTAATAAATGTTGATTCAAAGGACGTTATTTCTTTAAGTGGAGGTTTTTCAAGAGATAGTCACATCATTCAATTTTTATTGCAACATTTATAAGCATTTTTAATTTTTTTTTAAAAGTGTTTAAAATGTTTGAAAGCGTTTTCAAAAACTTTTTGAGCACTCCTTTAAATTGCAATCTAATACTTTTGGCAATCTTTTTCCAAAAATGTTAATTTCTATATACTATGAACGTAATCCTAGTGCTTATTCCAATTTCTTAAAGTGTACTTGAATGGTATCAATCTATTTTAAAATAAAAATATAAAGGTTCTTCTTCAAAATTAGAAAAAAATACTTATTATTGGAAAAACATATAAAGATTCAGTGTATTTTTCAATTTTTCTTTAACAAAAAATTAACAAATTTCACACTTTTTGATATAATCGATAAAGGTTTATTTTGAAATTATTTTTAAAGGGTTTACACCTCAATTATTTTATTTCGCGAAATATTACGTTATCTTTTTCCAGAAGTACCAGTATCTGAAATAAATGTGAAAGCAACACCCTGTCATAAAAAGAAGCATCCAATTTTTGGATAATCATATAATAATAGCAATTTCTAATTTTTAAAATTACTGTTTGAGTAAATAAATCAGAAAAGCTAACTATTAAAATAAATTTAGCAAAATAATTCAATTTTGGTCTTAGGGGTTATATATAGTGCAAAAAAATGGGTAACCCTAAATACCTTTTGATCTTATGATCAGATCTTCACATTCTATGATTCAACCTTAAACGTTCGAGAGGGTGATCTCAATTATTCTGATAGTTAATGCAGACGATAATTTAAGTTACAAGATCATACACAGAAACGTTCTTTCTCTGAATAAACTTCCCTTTTTTGGCAAATTCGGATTTCTGACCTTTGAAATATAAGGGTTGGATGTAAATTGGAAAATATAGTTCCAATAGTTTTGTGAGAGCGGTCCAAAGTTTGGATTCCTTATTGGTAATGTTCCTTTTTGAGAATTTTGCCATATCTAGTGAATATTTTAAGTGAATTGAAAAATTTTTGCACGCTATATTTTTTATTTATATTTATCCAAAGATAATTCCATAAAACACAGAGATGATTTGGAAAGCAGTCGAAATTATGGACTGCTCTCTTGACTGATTGAATCCTCCCTTAATATTGAGTTACATGTTAGTTTCCTATGTAAAATTAACTTTTATTTACTTGTTTTTGTTTTAACATGCTGATTGTTAAGTGAGCAGACGTATGAAGTTACATATGATGAAATAGAATTCTCAGTTCGCCTGGTAAATATATTTAATATGCATATTTTATACTGTAAATACATTTTTTATTGCACTGTATCAATTTCAGATTAAAATTTCACTTGCATATTTTCAAAGACTGGATATAACTTGAAACTAAATTCTAAATTTTTATTGGTTTGTTCCAGTTATTGATCGCATTGAAAATTAACGAAAGTTAATACTAAATTAAATAAAACTATTCTAGACAATTTGAAAATAATTTTATTGATGACTCCATTTCACAGTAATTGGAATAAAACATTTAAGAGAAGACAGGTTTTAAGAGAACTTTAAGCGAATATTCTCTTAACATTCGGGAAAGCATTTAGGAATTAAAACTTCTAACGGATTTGTAGACTATGTTTTCTTTTCCTTATTAACACAATAAGAAACCAAATTAATAAAATTGTTGGAATGTGTGGAGCATTTTAAATTCACAGGAATGGGGAAAATGAGCATCTGAAATCCTTAACGCTAGACAGACGGGTGGGGCCAAATTAGTCCCTCTTGAATTTTATTAATTAAAAACTCATAAAAGGATTTACTGAAAGTGTTGAGCGTTTCTGACTCTTTATAATTTAATCTAGTTTAAGCGTCTATTTGAAAATTCATAAGTTAGCCTTAAAGCAACGTATATATTATAGAATCTTATGCCTAGAATGAGGGGTAGGGGTTTGATAAGCCCAATAGGTATTTGGCAGGTATCTGTTAACCCAAGGTAGTTTTGGGTATTAGGTACCCTTTGCTATAAATAAGATATCCCAAATTCATTAAAAAAACAAGTTCATTTCAACATATCTATAACTATTATTTATAGAAAAGAAAGAAAATCAGTAATCTACAAAATTAAAGAATACACTTAAAATTTAAACAGCCGCTGTTCTGTTTAATCAAATGATTTCATTTACCAAATCGAATAAAACATCATAGAATGCCAATAATTACCAGGTCTATAATACGTTTTTATTAAATTAATTATGGTTATATTTTAAGATTTTGGGTGGCTAATTGACCCACACAATCTGGGAAGGACCAATTTGGCCCTATCAATCTTTCTATTCATGCAGTAATGTACAGTTTTTCTAGCGTTAACAAAACTTAACATTGTAACAATTATGAATCACCATCGAAAAATGTATTAAGAAATAATAATTATAATTGAAAAACATTGGGGTCATTCTAGCTTAGGAAGCTCCCCTTAGAAAAAAAAGGTGTTTTTGAGGTTATTTTGAGATTGTCAGATGCAAAAAAAATGCATCTGAGGTAAAAAAACGATGTTATGTTTAGCATCAAAAATAACCCCATTGATGAACCTCATTTACACCTCATATTATCATTCTTATATATATATAAATCAGCAATTTTTTTTAGTTGAGATTTTGAGCCACACCTCAAATATAATTCTTCACTTGAAGTGTAGAAAAAATAATTGAAAAAATAGTTGGTTGCTCCAAAGTAGATTTAAAACATTCTCAAAGTAGCCTCAAATGGGAATAAAGCAACTTCATACACCTTGATTATACACCTTAACATGTTGTTCTTTTAAGGTTGTTTTTGAAATCAAATCTTTAATCAACCTTGACACCGCAAAATAACCTCAAATAAATACATGAAATTTTTGAAAGGGTTTTGATGCCATTTTTCATTACTATCCCTTTTAGGATATGTATGTGAAAATGGCGCTACTTTAAAGTATTTCTGTGTTTTATGCATAATTTTTTTTCTGTACAATCTGCTTCAGAATACAGATCACTCCGAGATTATTGGGTTCCACAATACAAAATCTTAACCAACATTAGTCATTAGTTGATTGCATTTTTGTTGGCTTATTATAAAATAATATTATGTTATATAATATAGATAATATTATGTTGCTTCATATTATATAACATTATACTATATAATGCCTTATATTATATTGTCTTATGTTTCAAATTAAAAATTATTTTTTCTCAGTAAATTTTATAAGTTTACTTTGTGAGTAAAACTAATATGTGCTTCAATTTCTTACTTACAGTGTCCGACTGGATTATTTTGCAGGTAAGTTAATAAATAATTACAAAAAAAAAGTGGTGACACAAATGAAAAACTCAAAGGAATAATGTACTAAATAAACCAATTTCGAGAAAGTATAGCAGCTGTAGAAAGCTGTTTATGAAACAGCTTTCTGCTGTGATTTTTATAGGATGTTCGAAACCATACAGTAATTGCTAAAAAATAAGAACGTGTACAGAGTAAAAGCATAAAATGATTTGAGAAAATTTAAAGTTATCGTACAGAAATCAAGACCTCCATGATAAAAACAGAATTTTAATCAATGGTTTTAATCCATTATATAGGATGAAAAAGAGAAAGAAAAACATTTTGTCAACAAAAAAGTTTAAAATCATAAAATAAACGGAGAGAGTCCGAAAAAAATGGACATTTCTTACAGTATATGTAATTCATTTGCTCTAATCATGAGAATTATGAACTATAGTTATTTATAGCTATTTCTTTAAAAACAAACACATTACAAATTATTTAAGACATTACAAATTATTTACTCACATTTGACTATAAACAGTGCACTTAAATAATGAAATTAAAAACTCAACAATTGTTTTTTTTTATTCAAACATCATCCATTAAAAATAATAGATGGTTTCTTTTACCTTTACCCTAATCAATTGTAATAGAACTCTTCTCTACATCTTAAGACAAAATTATTTAGAAAGGTGGTCTAGTCTTATAAACTGTTTCACAATTCTTATTTTGTGCAAATAACATTAACATACTGTTATAAGTTACAGTTAAAAAGATGTGTTAGATGATTTAGAACTTAAAGATCAGCTTCATTTACAGTGAGAGGCGAGGAAAAATTGTAAATATATCCGCTCGTCTGGTAAGCAAAAATATTAAATTTCGGCTGTGAGCTCATCAAATTTGTTTGAACAATACAATGTTATTAAAAAAAATGATAACTTAGAAAAATAACTTCAGTTTACCAATCGATCTAAATATTTATAATAATAATAATAATATTTGGACGTAGGAGGAGGAGGCAACAAGAGTAAGCAAACAGAATTCCTTTTAGTATAGTCGTTTTATCTTTAGTATAAAAAACTGTTTTCTGCCAAGAAACAACAATTATTGCATCAAAGTTGGTGAGCGAAAGCGAACAGGGGGCTTTTCCTACTAGTGTTAAATAAATTATGAATTTATTTTACTGCATAACCAAATTTATTTCAAAATACACTCTGTAACAAAAAAACCGACGCACCAAGAAGCAATCATCCGATTGCTTTGAAATTTCGTATGCATGAATGTTTAGAACAGATATGGCTGGGATGATGCCGACTGGGGACGTATAGTTTTTAGTGACGAATCTCGCTTCCAACTGTGTCCTGACGATCATCGAAGACGTGTTTGGAGACGCACAGGGCAGAGGGGGATCTTGCCTTCACTATTGCACACCACACCGGCCCTCAACATGGCATTATGGTCTGGGGTGCCCTTTCCTTTGACAGCCGGACCCTTTTGGTCGTCATTAGAGGTACACTTACTGCACAGCGGTACGTCGACGGCATCCTAAGACCTGTTTTGCTACCGTTTCTTTTGCAGCGCCCTGGGCTGGTTTTTCAGCAGGCAATGCCAGACCACATGCGGCACGTGTTGCTATGAACTGTTTGCAACCTTGT